AAATAAGTGCTTATTTTTTTCTTTGTTTTTTTTTTAATATGTAAACCAGACATATATTCAATTGGAAGAAAATCTTGTTTGTTTTTATGATACTTGGACAAGCAGTGGGTTATTTCTGCTTAGTTGTCATGGATTCCTAGCAGGCTACCCTGGTGTTCTAGTCTCCTTCTAGCCTCATTATAGATAACAAAAATGAGATTGAAAGAATTCCAGTAGTTTACCTCAGTGTATTCACCTTTAGAGGCAATACCAGCATAAGTACGCAGTTCTCTCTCAGTCTTCAGAGCCCTGCCCTTCATTTGTCCTTTGACAGTTACTGTACATTTTGAAAAATAATGACAAAAAGTCATTTCTGTGTGCCTGTCAGGGATGGGGATGAATTGTACCTACCGTGAAATGATAGTTTAGCAGGAAGTTATTACCATGCAGCTGTTACAGTGATGACAGGCTGACATCACCCTAGAGTGACCGGAACAGTAAAGTACAGAAATTACTCTGCTTGTTCCTAAAATAAATTGAAAATACCTGAACTACCACAGAAATGTGACTCTATTAAGTAGCTTGTACAGGGTACGAGGCATATTCTTTCAGTTTTCTTGCTTCTTAAGATATTAAAAATCTATACCAACACATATATGCATATATACATGCACACATATTTAATTTGTTAGGACATTTACCAGAATAGAAACAGTACAGAAATACCTTATTTGATTTTTCTCAAAGACTTTCTGTTCGTCTCTGGAAGTAGGCTTAGAATTAAGGTGACTCAATGCCCAGGGAGTGAAAAGTTCTTGATCCCAGTTTCATAGCCATGTAACGTACTGTGCCAAATTTGATGATTTACCATTGTGAGAGGAGCTAGTTAGGAGACCTTCACTGCTGTTCTTTCTCTGTCATTTAAATAATCCTAACAAATACAAGTAGAACCACAGTCTCTGGATCTCACCCAGGCCTCCGGAGGAGCAGCAGGTGTTCTATCCTCTGGACAGTCTCTCCTGGCCCAGCATTGGTATTTTTAAGACCCAGTGTATCAACCCCATTCTTCATACATTCTTTCCTCTTTCAATCTTACTCATTCTTGATTTCATTCGTTACTTGATGATGAAGATAGCATAGCTTCTCTTGGCTTTATTTTATATTCTTAACTAACTTTACTGAATGCTCCTACCTGGATTTTAAAATAGAAATACTGATTGATTTGACTGCTATAAACTCTTAAAAAATATAATTCTATTATGCTATAACTTATTTAGATTTTATGATTCAATGAATTTTAATTAGTTTACAGAATGCTGCAACAATTTCTCTAAGTCAAACTGAAGACATTCTCATTACCGTAAGAAGGTAACTTATAGTCGTTTGCAATCACAGCACAGTCAGTGCTCCTAGTCTGTAACAATTGTAATGTGCAGTTTGTCTCTGCAGTTTTGTCTTTTCTGGACATTTCATATACATAAAAGCTATTAGAGTACGCTGTCCTGCAGTTCATCCATGTTGTAGCACATATCCAATCTTCATTCCTTAACATTCCACTGCATATTGTATGATGACTATACTACATCCTGTTTATTCATTCCTGAGTTATGGTCATTCAGATTATTTTTATTGTTTGGGTATTGAGAGACTAGAGATTTGCTTCAGTGGTAAAGAGAACTTACTGTTCTTGCAGGGGACCAGAGTTCAGGTCCCAGCATCCATATCAGGCTGCTGTTCACAATCACCTGGAGCTCCAGTTCCAGGGATCTGATACCCTCATCTGGACTTCATGGGCATTTGCATTTGTGTGTACCCCAGACACAACATGTAATTAAAAGATAACAATAACTCTTAAACAGCACTTGGAAGCCAGCCAGGGCTTCCGACTGAGAAACCCTGTCTCAACAAACCAGATCGGGGGAGGGAGGAGAGAGACAGAGAGACAGAGAGACAGAGAGAGAAAGAGAGAGAGAGAGAGA